ACATAAAGTTCTTAAAGAAATGCACATGAATACTAATGTTATTTATATAATGTTTGTGTTTTTGCATTACCAGATGTGCTGCAGAGCTATCTGGAGATTCCTCCGTCATTCCCTCTGGTATCAGTTTGCCATTTACTTCTCGGTACTTGACTCCATTTATTGTGCACTCACGGAACTGCATTTCATTTTCTGTTAGCGTACCCGTCTTGTCGGTAAAAACGTACTCTACCTGTAAAACAAAAACCCACAGGTGTGCATATAAGGTCGAGGTTCAACTGATGTCAGAAATGTTTCTAATTCAGTAACAATTCATGTTTTACAAAAGTATGATTAAGTAACTACTTCTTCTGTAGACATGGTATTTTTACATTAAAACACGAATGTTGCAGATTTCGTGACACACCTGTCCCAACTCTTCATTGAGATCGGAAGTGTTGACCTGAGCTTTCTGATCACTTTCCTCGTGGTACAAATCCAAATCCCAGCCAATAAAAAAAGAGCCCAAGAACTTCTGCATCTCCACAGTGACGTAGAGTGAGATGGGGATGATAAAGTTATAGAGGACCAGAAACGCCAAGAAGTCAGAGATGAACTTAAGGATCTAAAGAGAGATTAGATTAAATATATATAAAATTACTGGTCAGGAGATGTACAAAAACTGTTAAAACAGACAAATTACAGGAAAAAAAAAAATCGACGTCTATCACAGAATTTAAATTTTATACATGTTAGCCACACAGGATGACAGGCCTCCGCACAGATTTTTCTAAATGGAAGCAGGCAGGGTAATCCATTCCTATTAAGGAAATAATTACTTCATGTGACAGGAAAGGGGAGTGAGCACAGATTGTGAGACAAAGTATCGACAGCAACAAAAGTCAGCTTTATGACATGATCAACTAAGAATTGAGTCATAAAACACACAGATTAAGGGAATAAGTATTACTAAAAAAATACTCATGTATTTCTCTTTAGGCTATAAAAAGATTTCAGATATTTCTGGAACTGTTACCCCCTTGGAGCAAGGAGATAACTAATTTGGAGGCATACTCACTTGTAAAGATTATACTATATACTGAGCCCATTGGATTGCTGGAACACAGAATACACCAAATCCTAAAAGAAGGCTTCTTATTTGTTACGAGTATTTCTCTGTCATATGACAGCAGAATGTCTAGAGCACAACTGTGTGCCTTTGTTTCTTTGTTTTACAAAAGACTGCTGGTCGATGTGACTTATTAGAGTTGGCAGGCACACTGACATACCAACAGATAAACCCAGTGAAAGCCACTCCTTTCTTATACAGTACCTTGTCACAGACAACACTAAACCTAGCAGTTTCTTTGTGAACACATGGATCAAAGAATTGCCCCATCTTAAAATATTTTAAGTTATTTTAAACCAAAGACAAAAAAAAACAAAAAAAAAAGCAGGACAAAGTACACGCTGCATAAAAAAATGAAAGAAGTGTAATATTAAATAAAATAAACAAATCTTATTTAATACTTTGAATGAGAGAGGACAGAAAACCAAAAACAAGTTTGTAAAACTGAATTATTCTGATTAAAAAACCACTGCAGACTAACCGGACTGCTGTTTTTCTCTTGTTCAGTCTTTTGATTGTAAAAAGGTTCATTCCATTTCTCTTCAGCCTGCCAGGCATATTTCAGAATGGTGCTGAGGATGGCCTCAAACAGCAAGATGACCAAGTAGATGATCAGGAATGAGTTCATTGACCTGATAAGGGAACACATTTAAAACGTTAACTCCCATTAAGCACATCCTTGAGCGGCGGCGCTTTGATTACTTCGAAAAAAATGCTTACTTCTCCACTGCGGAGCGTTTCTGGGACTTGCACTTATAGTTGAGAGCCATCTTGGATTCCATCCCTGTGTAAACTGCCACACCTGCAACAGCAGTTAGTTTAGTTATTACATTAAACTCGTGGCTTGTCCATTACACTCCTGATCAAGTCATACTTTAAACCAGAAGATTATAAAACATGTGATAATGAGTGACCAATAGCAGAAGCTGAGAAATGCTTTATCGTGTTACAGCTGTGATTTGATCAGATTCAAGTTTCACTGGACCAGCTCACAGTAAAACTTTTATTATTAATTTCTCTAAGGATTTATTCTAAAATGAATGTCTGGATCATCACAGCCATTCAGACTCACCAAAAATCTCTTTGGTATTTTTCAATCTGGCACCTCGCAGCAGCAGGTTCTCTGGACCCAGTGGTCTAAAATATATATATATGAAAAAAATAATACATGTTTAAAAGTGCAAATAATGTTTATTTTGTTACAAGCCTCATACACAAACTCAACAAGTAGCTGCCATGAATGAAWGAGTGTTTAATGGTTACCTGACACAGTAAATAATTGTAAATACATGCTAAATTTATTTATTTTTCTTTTAAATCTGGTTTTACCTGACGATCTCTTCTCCATGTTGAGTCACAGTGATACGACCTACGAATCTGAAAGAGACCAAAAACGTTTCAGATGTATTAAAAGATTTCGTCTTAGAGTGATTACTAAATAACAAGGCCAATGATTGGGTAGAGCAACTGAAAATCTGACAAAAGATTTCTCAAGAGGAAATTACTACAAGATTTGATTTAAAACATTTGATTACTAATTAATGAAACAAGGCTAAAACCATGTTAACGAAATGAGATCACAGCAAGAAGCTGACAAATGCTGGGTCAGTTAGGTCCATGTAAATTTAAATCCTGTCAGTGACTCTGGACAGTGACTGAAAAACTTTTTTCATAAATGTAACAGATATTAGATAACATTCAGACCACTGAGTGCAAAAAGAACACATTTTCTGTTTTCTAAGCACTTCAAATTCTCAGATATTTTTGAAATACTGCCTATAAATACAATGAAAACTTCAGAAAACAGAAGCACACTACACAGAAGTTCTCCTGCTATTTTAACATAGTCTTAAACCAGCATGACCTGCACACTAAGACAACTGGTAGCACGTTTGTTTTGTCTTAGTGTCATGCACTATGACCTGGATGTTTTCACGTGCACTTTATCTGGATGTTTTAAGGACTGCAGCACAACTCTAAAAACAGCCACCATGTGAGAGAAACAACCTTGTGTGGGGGAAGGGGAGAAAAGCGCCACAGATGCAAACTGCTTAAAGTCCTAAAGCTGCCTGCTAAGTTGTTGTCATCAGAATGATGAAGCTTTAACTTTGTCATCTATCTTATAATTGTCTTATAATTGTTTTAAGAGGAACATGTCGACCATGTGTTTAACACAGTGTATATTATTGCCTGCTGCCAAAGGGAAAAAGGGCGGTGATGTTTGCAGTGTCTATGTGAGCTTGTTTGTACCGTTAGCAAAATATCTCAAACTACTCAATGGACTTTTAATGAAACCCTAACAAAGTAATTATTGATTGAACATCTACAACTGAATAACTTTTGAAGCCAACTCTACTGAACTGAACTGGGAATTTCTGACATTTGTATTCTGAAGGTGGGAGTTCACAGAAGTCCAGATTACCTGTACAAATCAGCTTCTGGCTGCTGACACTCCACTACAGCCTGTAAAGCCTCCAGCTGGGTCACTGACTGACACACTGATGTCTCTGGTACAGAGAAATGGGTCTATAAAAAACACACAGTTAAATGCTGATAAAGAAAAGTGATGGTTAAAACTGGGGCAACAATGTTTTTAAGGGTGTATTCAGACCAGGAAAGTCCTTTGGTCCAATTGTTTGGTCCGGACCAAAAGTGGACTTTATTTTTTTTCGTTTGGTGCGGTTTGCATTCACATTGTGCTTTTTTGCAAATGAACTATAACTTGTAAACAAAGCCACGAGTGTGACGATCATTGCTCCCATTGGACAAAAAAAGGACGGGGGCGGGACTGAGCCACAGATCCAGCAGAAAACAAGGAAGTCCTGCATGCTGCGGTTCTGATGCGCACATTTGTGCTGATAGTACAACTGCAACAGCATTTAAAATGTCAGAAGCGCTAATTTAATGGTGGTTCCATGATGATATTCTAATTTTGGAGCGGCGTCAGTAAATGTGTCCCGCGACCCAAAGGAGACGAGGTGCTCTGCGTGTTCTGACCCACAACATGCCGGCAGCAGAGCTGCTAACAGGAGATGACGAAACATGTATGTTTTCAGTTTATTTAGCTCAGCAACGGTGGCCTGTGAAGTCCAAAAAGGTGCATGTTTAATGCAGTTGGTTCGGTTAGAGTCCGGTCTGTGTTCACACCAGAAGCGAACTGAAGTGAACCGCACCAGAGTTCGTTTGGAAGCGGACCGAGACCACCTCAAAAAGCAGGTCTCGGTCCGGTTGTTTGATCCGCACCAGAGTTCGTTTGGAAGCGGACCGAGACCACCTCAAAAAGCAGGTCTCGGTCCGGTTGTTTGATCCGCACCAGAGTTCGCATGAGTGTATTCACACCTGCACAAAAGGTCCGGAACACTGGAAACGAACTCTGGTTCGTTTAAAGCGGAGCAAATTATCAGGTCTGAATACGACCTATGATAAGGGATAATTGTGACTAAGGAGGAAGGAAGAACAGCTGGTTAGTAAAGTTTAAACATTGGCTCAGTTATTTGGAACTGGTTCAGAGTCAAGGTGACAGACAAGCAGAGAACATATCATCAACATTCAGCTAAAAATATTGAGACATTACTTTTAGTTCGTATCACCCAGCTTTAATTGGCAGTCACATACACACAAAATGTTAATTTGATTGCAGCGACGCGAACAAACCTTGAGGTTGGTCTCTCCATCGAGACTGGCTGTGGTGATGTGACAAGTCCCATCAGCACGATCTGATGAGAGCAACACCAGATCAGCAGGGAAGGTCTCATCTTTAGCTACGCGGACAATGTCCCCCACCTGGATGGACAAGAAATTAACAGAACCAGGTTTACACGGTCCAAGTTTACAGCAGTATTAAATGCATTGTTCTGATTAAACAAAATGTTTTTAAACTCCTTTTGGTTGTACTCAAATGTTCACTTACATTGTTAACTGTTAGTACTGTAGCAGAATATGTTTCATTTGTTGATAAAGTAAAGCTAAAAATAATAAAAAAGGTTTAGGATCTGTTAGAAGCCTTATTCAAATACACCACTGCTACAAATTATTTTTAGACTTTACTAGAATGAAATCATTTTTCAGAGTAGTTCAACAAAACATCTATTTTTTTATTAGTTCTTGTTCTTGGAAGCAACATAATTTAATCTAGAAGACAGAAAGTAAAAGTTGCAGCCTAATGATTTTGTCTCTACTGGGACAGATAATTTCAACATTTTGTAGCCTTGTCTTAAACTTTTGCACTCCTGTCAGCAAATCTCAGTTGTGACTATAAACACAGCATGTGTGCTTTTCAAGCTTGTAGAACTTGCCTTCCTACTAAAAGCATACGTCACTGGATTCTATTATCATTAGCTTTAGAAATTTATCATGGAAAAGTTTGACCGATCAATGTGTAACATATGACTGCCTTTAAAAACAATGAATCACTGGAAAGATAACAAAACTTGTTTAGACACAAGCCTGCATGTTAGATTTGTAGGTGGACGTTGGAAATTTAAATAAATGCAAAACACAAGAAAATAGCAAATGTTAGCATCCAAGAACTTGAAACAAACCAAATTAATTCATTTGCTTTTCTTTTAAGTGAATGAGCAAAACTTATAAAAAAAAAAAAAAAAACATGACCGAGACAAGCTGCAGCAGGAAATGATGCAGGGTTTTGATGCAATCAGTTAAAACTATTATACTGTGTATCTATATTCATCTCACACATATAACTGCCAATCTGAAAATCTCACAAATACACATTTTTAAATTCTCAAAAAAAAAAAAAAGCTTATTTTTCATACTATGTCCCTCTGGAGAATTATCTGTGAATTAATGCTCCTCAAATTGTCAAAAAGAAAAAAAACTTTCTATGATATTTATGTAAAAAAAAATCACTATCATGAGGAATTCAACAGCCATGCTAAAATTAATAATGATGTTTGTGATAAACTGTAAAGGCCTTCATGTACAGAACAAAAACAGAGACTTTATAAAACCAAAGTCGTTTTGATAAAATAACTGGCACGATGAATTTTTATGCTTTAGAAATATTACCCTAATATTTTTGGATCTCGTCTGTACCAGACTTCCACTGCGAACCACAAACACTGGAGCTCCATTAACCTCGTTGTCTGCCTTGTGTCTCAGCCAGTCTTCATAGCCCTGCGAAGAAAGCCATTCAAGCCTTTCAAATATCACAGGTGAGCTGTTGAAAATGGGGTAATTACACCGTAGCCTGGCTCAAATAAACATATTTAATGTCACATTTATAAAAGCATTAAAATAAACCTATAAAAAAGTTGTAGATGATATGCTTCTTTAGTGAGTCAAGACAAAAAAATGGATTGCCAAATTAGCTTGGTTTTAATTTCTGGTTTCAACAACAGCTCAAACCGGAATGGTATTAGGTCAGTTCCACATTTTAAGTCTTAATTTGAGGAAGTTATTATTTGCTTGATCACTCACCTGTTTTATAGCAGTGACTGTGATCACAAAGAAGAGAGGGAGCCCACTGGTGACTGGAGAAGTTGGGGTGTCTATCATTAACTAGAAATAAAACATACAGATTAATAAAAGGTATGAACAAAGCCATAAAGCAGTAAAACACATGCACAGTGGGTGTAAATTGTGAAAGACAACAGAACAGAGAGAAGTAGTGGCTGGTTTGTCAAATAGGAAATGTCTATAAGGTTCCTCCAATGTTAAATGTCACATCTGTACAAATAGTCACTTACACAGGTTTTTACATTCATCTGTGCTTTTGTCCCCAACTTCCCTCATTCTACATTCAACAACAGAATTTCCACATCAACCTTTTAATCAACACAAATTGTCAAACATGTTTGTTGGAAAATGTTAAAGTGACTAAACGCTCTCGCACCTAGCTAATTGATCATCACACACACGTGCATAAAAACATTAAAAAACCTAATAAACATTAAACACTTTGAAGATAATTTATTTCAGTCACATTTAATCCTCTTAGTGTGTTTTGACTCAAATTTTAACTTGTTGGGTAATCATAACCTTGAGCTGCATCTGCTTTGTAGTCTATGACATTAAAGTATCTGAAGTTTGTCATCACACAATAATACTATACAATAATATATATAATATAATATATGCACTAAAATCTGCACAGAAGATTTTGTTGCTCGCTGAACAGAAAAGTAAAAAAATAAAGACTCAGGCACATCTTATGTAACTCATGTCTGGTAAACTGCAATACCTTCCTCTAGTTTTGTAAGTCACTTTAATATTTTCCTAAAGGTTTGTAATTATAACCATTATTATTTTTGCACTTTATTTTGATTTTAGGGAGTTAAAGTGCAAATTAAAAGCATTTTTTCCTCATTTACTGTTTTGGGAAAACACTGCTTTAAGCAGGGCCTTCAGTTTGCTCCACCGAGCAGGTGATGCAGCATAAATTACTGTCAACTGTTTCACAATGTTGTAGTTGTTCAACAGATGGCTGTAAAGGACAATACATACTTAAACACTTTTGAAAGGACATAGAAAAAGGGCCACATAAAGAGCGTGAATGGGAGGGGGTCGCCTTCCTATCGGAGGCTCAAGGGTTCAATCCCCAGCCTCTAAACTGTGTACTTATTGGTGTACAAGTGAAAACGTAAAAAGAAAATATAATGATATTTTTATTGTGTGATTATTTCTGTGATTAAACTGATGATTTCATGTACAGACTGGTCTGGGTGGCTATAAAATATGGCTACACAGAGCAGATACCTGCCTGAACACACTTAAAACACTTAATTAAACCACTGTTTTATCAAGAGGAAAAGAATTATGTTTGAGGATCTGGCTCAAGCTGTAGGGTGGCCCATTTTGATGACGCAATGAAAATAGGCGGCATCAAATCCTGAAGAGAATGATTTAATGAATTTGCTTCCTGAAATGCTTTGCTGAATGCACGGAGAGAGCATTAAACGTGGTTCAGACCAGCGCTGTGGTGTGGTAGTATAACTCTTTTCACATTCAAACATTCAAATATTGGTGTATTTTCTATCTGGTTACGAACACGTATTAAGGTAAACAAACACGTAAAATTTATTTTCAGCTTCTTTTCCAGCCCCTGCTGTATACTTATTGGTGTATAAGTGAAAACGTAAAAAGCATATATTATACTGTGGTTTGAACTGTGAACACAAAAAAAAGAGACAATGATGAATCAAGAATCTAATAATTTTTTGTGGACTAATGACCAAAAGGAATCTATATTTTGTGTCACATTAAAGTACAAAACCTAAGTTTTAAAAAGTTTTGTTTAAGCTGTTCAAACAAAAATTAAAAAGTTCAAGATTTTTTTTTTAAACACTGGAACCCATTTTCAAAGAATACCACTTTAGAGGCTTCAAAAACGACATTTCTACATGAAACTGAAACAATAAAAATAGACAACTAAATAAGCTCAAACATTTATTTAAAAATGCAACATTCCTGTGACTTTTTCTAATGCCCTTTGTGAAACAAATTTTATAACAACAGGTAACCAGGAATCCATTTGAGAAATGTTAAAATTAAAGGGTCCATTTGTCCATCTAAAAAAATATCATATTCACAATGTTAAAAAAAGATGAATGCTTTTCAGTGATTTTAGACTAAGATGATTTCAAAGAACCGACAACCTGAGTAGGAGAAAAAACAGTCTTCTCAGACAAAGTCAAATCAGTTGCTTTGGCTTCAATACACAGTCCCAAACACACTGGAGGAAAGCTAAAAATCTGAAAGACGAATCCAGTTTCAGCACAGGATGACTGATGCATTCTGAAGGCATGACGCTTTGGGCTGGAGGTAACGACACTTTTGACCAAATGCGTGGGTGTAATTTTTAAACAGAGTTAGACTTCTATCTCCTCGGGCCCCTGCATGTTAGTGACACATTTACTCATGCAAAAACAGATGCACGCACACACACACACTTGTGTGTGCAGGAAAGCTGAGGTCACACATGAGTCATCACCAGCTGATAAACAGAGCATGTTTCTGCAGAGTGGCCGTCTTTATGTGTATTTGTGTGACATTACCTGTACAAGGAAGATAATGAGAAAATAGAAGTTTGCAATCCTCCTAAACTGCTCAAACAAATTCTTGGGTACAAAATTCCAAATCGTATACTGAAAAAGAAAGAACAGAGAAAAAAATAAACTTAAAGAAACATTTTAAGCAACACAAGTGTGTCCAAGTGTGGCAAAAAGAACAATTGAAATAAATGTACTAATTTATTTTAACTGGCTACTTTTACATTCTTGTTTTACAATGACAGCATATCTGAAGTGCCATAAAACAGGACACAAATACAGGCTAACAGGAATTTTAATACCTTGGAGGAAATGATCCTGTTGTCTGCAAAGCGCTGTGGGATGTAATGACCATGCTGGGGGAAACGGTTTGCTACATAAACTGTCCTGGTGTCACTTTGATGAGGCGGGTCAAAGCCCTGAGAGAAAAGAAACAAAAAGACACAACAACATGAAGAGAGGATGAAATAGAAAGTAAGAGTATTGTAGAAATGCATACCTCAAAAAATACTTTCTACATAAAAAAATCTAAAAGTAAATCTATCTAAAAAAAAAAACATTGAACGATAAAAATCTAATTTGTGATAGTTGAATCACCAAAGCTGACAGAAAAATAAATCAACTTTGTCTGTTTAAAGGCCTCATTGAACACAGTGATTCCACAGAAATGTTTCAAAATTTAAAACAAAAACCACATTTTAAAACATGCATATACTGAAAACACTCATCTCAACAGCTCAATGACAAAATCACTTACAACAAACAGCTCACTCGCTACAACCTCACTGATCACAGACCAGAATCACACAATTAAAAAGGGAATCAAAGATAAATAAGTTTGGGTAGAATTTGTTAAACTGTTTAATTGCAGACAAATAAAACACCTCGAAGAATCTAGTTTTACAATGGAAAGTTAACTGAGAACAACAACAACAAAAAAAAACTTTTTAAAAGTAACATTCTGGTTCTCATTAAGGTCCGGGGAAAGTAAATAACCAGATAAAGTTGTCAGTTTCTAACAGTCACTGACAGGAGGAGGAATATGAACAATGCTACTGTTGTTTAATAATCACAGCTGAAAGGATTCTTACTACTACTTAACACAAAATATATAGAGTTGTGCTTTAAATAACCGTGAAGCTAAATTTAGGCACATAGGGACCTGGAAATGGACTTTGTTAGCCCCAAATCTTAACATCTAACAAAGAAATTACTGTCAGTGGCTTGAATAAATATCACATCTCTACAGGTAAATTATATTAATTTTGAAATCAAGCGGGGTGCACATCTTGTACCCTTACATGACTGAACAAGGACAACTTGACGACGGCTGATGAAGGAGAATTTCTCAACCATGTAGGCTTCAGTTGTGCCTCCTAAACTAAGTTCAATCCGGCCAATCAGTCATGTCTTTATTAACATTAACCATAGATGTCCTGATGCATCTCAGTAATCCAGGTAAAAAATCAAAAAGAAAAAAATTGTGTAGGTCTTCTGGACGGGTTCTTCTCTAATGAAACGTTTCGTCTCTCCTCCAAGAGACTTCTTCAGTCTGAGAGTTTCAGGCAAAATTCAGGCTTTTAAGCCCTGCCTCCATGTGACTGATACTCACATCACATGGCTATCGTTGACACCTAATTAACACTTGTTGTTAACAGGGGGTGGAGTGATACTGGCAATAGCCATGCTGTAGGAGGGGGACAACTGAAAACGGAGGCCTCCACCTCTGTTTAATGATGGACGGTCTTTCTTCACAAAAATGGCTTCTTTTACTCCTCTCTCAAACCAACGTTCCTCTCTATCAAGAATGAGAACATCCTCATCTCTGAAAGAGTGACCGCTGGCCTGTAAATGAGTGAAAACTGCAGAGTTCTGGCCATTAGAATTAGCTCGTCTGTGTTGGGACATTCTTTTGAACAGTGGCTGCTTTGTTTCCCCGATGTATAACTGGTCGCAGTCCTCCTGGCACTTAACAGTATATACAACATTGCTCTGTTTGTGCCGGGGCACCGGATCTTTGGGGTGAACCAGCCTTTGCTGTAATGTGTTTTGGGGTTTGAAAGCYACTGGGACATCATGTTTAGAAAATAAACGTTTCAGTTTCTCCAAAACACCCGCAACATACGGAATAACCACTGGTTTGGGTCTGTGGTCTTCATTTTCACCTGAAGGTTGCATGGAATCCTGTCTGTGTTTCCTGTCTGCTTTCAGGAAAGCCCAGTCAGGATAACCACACTGCTCCAGGGCCTGTCCTGTGTGTGATTTCTCTTTCTGCCTGGCTCCTGGGTTTGTAGGGACACTGTCTGCTCTGTGGTACAACGTCTCAGACTGAAGAAGTCTCTTGGAGGAGAGACGAAATGTTTCATTACAGAAGAACCCTTCCAGAAGACCTATACAATTTTTTTTCTTTTTGATTAACCATAGCTACCATACATATTCACCAAGTACACATACTGTAAACCTTACTCAGTAATAAACTTGTAATATTGTTATGAGAAACTCTGTCATTGTTGAGCATTTACTTATGATACATAGTAAAAAGCTTGTTATGTCCTTATTCACACCCGCTGCTGTTAGTATAATATTTTTACAACTTGATTAGAATCCAACCTTACAGAAGAACAATAGGGTGGCACACGAGCTCACACTAAATGGTGTACAGCGAGAATAAACAACCAAGTTATGAGGTCAATAAAAGTGCAGAAGAGGGGAAGAATAGAGAAACATTTCTGGCAAGAAAATAATCCCACAACAGCAGATTATTGTATTAGTTATATTGCCCACAGGCAACTAGGTAACTTCTTCATCATATTCTTTTCACTGGCAGATGATCAAATTTAAAGTAGCACTAATAAATAGGAATCCAATTTCATTGGAAGCAATGAATGATCCAGTGAAACGTAATACTCTGTTTTGTAATTTATTTGTGATAATTTTATTTATTAAATTTTTTATTTAAAATCTTTTTTCATTTTATTAAAACAAAATCAATTCTATGTACAAATAAAGAAGAAAAACAGAAATACAATGAAATGAAAGGCAGCAGAGAAGAAAAAAATCTTATATCTGCCCCTTTTTGTCCTCAAATATAAACTCAAACAATACTAGTCTTCAAAAATAAATAAATAAACAACATCAAATCCTTCTAGAACACCAGTTTATATGAATGCATATTATACTGTTTCATAGCTCTTCAAAAGCCCAACTTTTATCATTCTCTTGAACATGTACATTAATCTAGCATTTTTAACATCATCTTCCAGATTATTCTACAATCTATACTCCTTGGATTGGAAGTATTTTTAGGAAGTAACAGGTAGAAAGTTACTGAAATGTGGCACAACTGTCGTGTGAATATGATGCGTAAATAAGTCGTATTGGTTATCAATAAGGATACACGATATATCTGCATTAACATCGGTATCGGTCGATATCGGTCATTTTTTTAGGACATCACATTGGTTCACTGAGTAAAACTGGGCCGATATTAACGTCCAACATTGATTTCCCACTTTTTAGCTTTGTGTTCCTTTTCTGGGAGGGAAAATGTTTGGTCGAGTGGTCACGATAGCGATAGTGACGCTGCTCAGCCTCAAGTAGAGAGTAGGGTTGGGCAATATTGGCAAAAAATTTTATCACGATTAATTGTGGTATTTAGCAGATAACGATTAATTTGACAATTAATCCCCTGGAATCCCTGAACACCCATATGTCCTGGTCACATGACCAATTTAGTGGGACAGATTTTATCTTCATAAAAATCTGTTCCAGTGGTGTCAAAATTACATATTTCAGGCTATACATCTATACATAAAACTTTAAATTGGGTTGATAGGTAAATAAATTTACAAAACTTTTTTTTAAAATGTTTGTCATATTTGAAGAGGAGAGGAGCACCAGGCGGACTGGTGGCATTAATCATATTAATGGTCAAGTGCCAAAAAATAACTGATCTATGTTTTTTCACGATACGATTATGCCCATCCCTAGTAAAGAGCTGTGTCAGCGGTCTAGTCGTTATTTTCATTTCTGTGTTTGTGTAATATCTGTAAATATCCGTTATCGATCATAACACCAATAATAATAGGATCGATATTGGCTGAAGTTTTCATATCGGTGCATCCCTAGTTATCAAGAAAATTCTCATGTCACATTGTTGAGTTAGCATTCACATTTATCCAGTGACAGTCCAAAATGTAAATCAGATTAACAGCAATAGAAATACAAATAAAAATCACTGATATAATCAGTTGCAATGAGGACTACTTAGAACCACAGCGTGTGGCAAAAATTTGACCTTTCATTTTGTCTGCTGACTCTAATGCCCACATCAATTTAAACTAAGGCAGACAATTATTACTTCCTGCCTGAAGCCTACAAGTCCCACAGTGCCTCAGAGAATTCACTGCCCTGAACAATTACAACGCAAAAATAAATAAATAAAATAATAAATAATAAATAAAAAGCTATATACTGAGTTGTATTAAAGAAAAAGAAGCTTTTCATCAAAAGAAACAACAGAAGAAAGAAAATAAAGGGAGGCTGTTGGATTAGAAGAAACCAGGAAAGACAAACTCATAAAAAGGGCAACAGAGTAAAAATATGCAAAAGCTGATGTTGTTTCAGGCTGTTTGATAACAGCTACATTAACATCAGATGCATGCCATAAATATAACGTGTTGCAAGACTTAAACATTTAAAGCCAAACTATAGACAGGCACTATTTTATCCAAAGTGAGATATGACATTTATTGGGTTTGTTTACTACTTCATGACAGCAGACTATTGTTACAGCAGTGATCCTAAAAGGTCTTGCATGTGACTGCAAAAATAAAGTGAATTCTTCCAACTCAATAGGCTTCGATGACTTGTGCAAACGACTCAAAAAAAAAATCACACTTCCTCTCTATTCCTCACACCTTATGCACAGCTACCGATTAACCCCCGTAAAGTTCACACAGTAAAACCCAAAGCTCTAAATCTACGAGATACTTTAAAAGTTATACCCAACGTTCCGTTTAAAGCCTGAATGAAGATATGGGCTATCAAAAAGACACGCAAGTCCGTTTACCCAGCTGCTGCCGTTACGTATGCTAGATTTGCAGAAGCTCTTTATTGGTGTAAAATGCAGAAGTGCTGGCGTGAAGTCAGTACTGATAGAAGCCTGACACGAAAAACTGTCAAAAAAAAAAAAAAAAAAAAACCCCCCTCAAATTATTCTACTCGTTTATTACAGTCCCAAAGA